CCACCCAGCCCCATGCACCCCCTCGCTCCCTCCCCACCTGCTCCCTCCCCCATCCTCCATGGCTGAAAATCCTGCTTGGATTTTTGGCACAAAGCTTTTTTCAGGCAGTTCCCAAAGCCCTGTGCAAAGTTGTTACAGCTGCCTGTAACAGCTTTGCATGGGGCTTTGGGGGCTGCCTGAAAAACCTTCATGCTGGAAATCCAAACAGGATTTCAGCACAAAGTTTTCAGGGTTGCCTGTGCCAAAATCAGGCAGCCCTCAGAGATGAGAGGAAGTCCTCTCAGCAGGCGGCAGCGGCGGCTTGTGACTTTCCTGCCGCCTACTTTCCTGGCAGGCAGCACGGAAGATTGCAAATGGTGATCACATGATGATGGGGTGCTTGGCAACCAGTCATAAGGCGAACCAATTGCCAAGGGTCCAGATTGCCGTAACTTCAGGTCAGGTCGTAAGTCCCTTCATTCAGTGCTGTCGTAACTTCGAACAGTCACTGAATGAATGGTTGGACAGCGGGGAATACTTGGAGCACTGATGATTTACCTAGTCAGGTAATGAAATGTTTGCAAGCAAACAACCAAGCTCAGAGAGGATCAAGTACTCCACCAAATATCTCTTTATAGTAGTATTTGATGCCTGAAGAAGGAACATTCAATGCATGTCATTAAAGACTCAGTGAAATTTTAACAAGCTGAATGAGCACCTAGAGAAAATGGGATGAAAGCTTCTCGGCAGGTGAAATTCCCATCCTTGTCAAGGAAATGATTTGGGTTGAACCAGAGAGGCGTCTCCCATTCATTGGGATCATACAAGGCAGAAGCCATGTTTGGGTAAATGGTGGAGCCCTGCCAAAAAGAGAATGAGCAATTAAGTTCATCTTTTCATTCTAAGGGAACAAAAAGAGTTTGTTATATCTGCTGACAAAAGAGTCCAAGGCAAGAAATCAATAGGAAATTACATAATCAATTTAAACACACAGCTTTAAAGATCAGAAAGAAGAAAGAAGATTTTTTCTTCTAAAAAATGCAAATAGGTTAAACAAACAGTAATTAAAATACTTCTTTAAAAAAAAAAAAAGAAGAATCTTAATAAACCTTCTATTTTTTGAAACTGACCTTGGATGATCTTAAACAGTTAAGCCGGTTGGACCACATGGATGAGAAACCACCAGGAAATTTACGTGAGCTCGATGTTAGGCTGGGCAGTTGAAAAACACATCCATTGTGGAAAAAGTAATGGCCAACCACTTCTGATTTGTTGCCATAAAAATGATATATATGTCTCTATGAAGTGACCAGGAGCTGAGCTCAACTCAAAAGAGAGCAAACATCCACTTTTTTGTGTGTGAAGAAAAAGAGAGCTACATGTATTTTAAATGTTTGTGCTTCAGCCTTAACAAAGAATGAGCCTAACTTCATGCATAGACTGACGAGAACTAACTTGACAAGCTAGTCAAGAAATCAGAGTGAAGAACAGACATTGGAAACAGATGCACCCCCAGCTAACCCCAGGGATGACAAAATGTGCATCACAGTGTCACGGCACAACCTCCCCCCTTTAGACTTTGGATGATGGGCACATAAGGGGCATCATGATGGTTGATACCCACTTTATCATTTTCTTGTTCTCATTTGCTCTGCTCTGCAGCAGTAAAAAGGGTGTCAGGAAATAGCAAAAGTCTATTACTTTTAGTTATTACTCCTGTTTGATGCTTGGGAATGGCTTTGGGCATGATCTTGTAGGTGTAAAAACAGCAGGCCAATAATTTATTCATTTATTTATTTATTAAATTCGTATGCTGCCCATCTCCCCCAGTGGGTGACTCTGGGTGGCTCACAATTAGAATAAAACCCACAAACCGTTAAAAAAATAAATACCCACATTAATTAAAAGCCAGGCTATATAAAAAGAACCCAATACATAAAAAACTAAAAACATTCAGGATGACGGGGCGTAAAAACAATTACAGCACAAGCCACTTCCACTGGTGCAAGCCCCCATCCGGCCCTCAGGCCATCTGGCATAGCCAAGATTTCACACTGTTCCTGAAGGCCCATGGGAGTGGGGGCACACCGCTTTCCCCGACTTGGCACTCCGCAAATCTGCTTGGCTTCTTCTCTCACGCTGCTCCAGCTTTTGGTTATACTGACCAAACATAATTGGAGGACAACAGTAGCAGTTATGAACATATATAAATATAGGTAGTCCTCGGTTAACGACCATTCGTTCAGCAACTCTTTGAAGTTATGACGGTGTTGAACAAGGAAACTTACGGCTGTCCTCAAGGTTGCAGCCATCGCAGTATTCCTGTGGTCCTTTGATCGTGATTCAAGCGCTTGGCAATCAGCTCATAATTACAACAGTCGCAGCATCCTGCAGTCAGCGGTTGCCGTTTGTGACCTTCACTGCTGGCTTCTGACAAGCAAAGTCAATGGGGAAGGTGGCAGGAGGTTGCAAATGGCAATCACGTGATGTCATGCCTAACAACCATGTGGGATTTGCCTAATGACAGCAACTGGAGCTGCCGGAACCACCGATGTAAGATGGTGCAGTCACGTGACATCACACTTTACGGCCATGTCACTTGGCAACAGAATTCCCAGTCCCATTTACCATCGTTAACTGAGGACTACCTATAATTGCGTGTGCTTCATCTAGCAATACCGTGAGCAGAAGAAAGGAGGACTCTAGGCCACAAGGATTTGGTTACCTTTCTAATGAGAAACTGCTGGATCATTGTGTCCCTTATGCAGTATCTGGGCATCCCAACTGCAATGACATTGCTAAAGCGCTGGATTTCGTGCACCACAGCATTTGTGTACGGAAGCTTCTTGCGATCCTCATAACAGAGTGACTGCCCTGGGGTTAGAACTGTATCCATTTCCTTTTGAACTTTGTCTGAGGAGAAGCAAATATTGTGCACATTAACTAGCGCTAGGATTAATAAGCATCTGAGTATGGCCCCAGCTGTCTATGGTCTATTAATGGCAGAGGCTCAGCCTAGCAGGAGTGAACTGCAAAGACAAGAAAGCAGGAATGCTGAGAATGTAAACATGCAACTGTCCTCAATGCATGGATGAGATGGGGAGGGGGAGTAAATAGGTTTTGAAAGACTGGGTACCGTCCGTTCTGTATCATCTTTCCTGCCCATTCAGAGACTGCCAATTCTTTGCTATGGTTGCCATTCCATAATTACAGCAAAGATTTAGTTCTTAGCCACGGTCATCAGAAGGTAATTCCCTTCAGCCAAGTAAAAATGCTCTCCAGCAGTCCTTGAATCAACAGAAAATTTTACCAACACATAATTTGCTACTCCTACTGCTGGTCCTTACTCAGCCACAGGCTCAATGCAACAAATGATTGTAGCCTTATTTACTATGTGCAGGGCATATAAAGGATAGGGATTAGTGAATTCTCCTGGCACTTTCTTGCTCTCCACCCACTAAATGTCACACCCTAGTAGGAAATCATCTATCTATCACCCTCCTTAAAGTAGATTGGGGCTGAGGAGCAGACAAATTTCGACAGATGGATGGCTCAGCCCATTTAGCTATCTGTCAAAATTTGCTCTGGGTTTGTACAAGTGTTTTGCACAGATGACTTCTCCTTTTGAACATGGATTTAGTGCTCTTCTGTAAGAACATTAAACCCATTTCTGTTCCCTTTGCCCTCCTCCATGCAGGTCAGCCTGTCATTCAGTTGGTAGCTTCCTTCACATGCTTTAAGGAAGTCTTTCTTAAACTTTTTTTCTCTCAGGACCCCTTCCCACTTTTAAAAATTATGGAGGACCCCCAAAGAGCTTTTGTTTGTATAGGTTATATTTATTGATATTTACCATATTAAAAATAAAAATTGAGGCATTTGCTGCCACTCCCGCTTCTCACGGTCATTTGATGGGATTTTAATATTGTATTTCAACACAGCCTGGCAAATAATTTGGATTTCACAGACCCCTGAAAGGATCTAGGGGGACCCCCAGAAGTCCTAGCACCATATTTTAAGAAACAGTGTTTTAAGGAATAGCTAAAAGGGCCTGTGCTTGCACTCACCTAAGTTCCAACCCACTTCTGAGTAATTTCTGAAACATGCAACACCATAAAATTTGGTAACAATCTGTAATTTAGATTGGATGAAGCTCAGACAAATATTACATCAAAAGCTACAGATAAACCATGGTCTTGGGTATTGAGAACAGATGAACACTGGCACTGATCTATAATGCTAAGGGAGTGTACCTGGGGTGTATCTGGCACACCCTGAACACCTGCTGTGTTTACTCAACAGTTAACAGTTAGTAGTCTTCCCCAAATACCTCACATGACCATCACCCTCTCTGAAGTATCTGTTCTTATCATGCCAGTTGAAGTGGCCTGAAGAGACAAAGGCTAGGCCTGCTTGGATCATCCGATATTTTGAGTGGGAAATAATATCTTGTCATTTGGACCACCGGGAGTACCAAAGAATTCTCCCAATAATACTTGTCAATTACAGGTTAAGCTGCTTCTAGTAGCTTCAGGTACCAAGCATAGGTTGGACTACAAAGGTCCCGTCTAACTCTTCCATCCTATGATTCTTCTCTCACCTTGAATGTCTGGGTAAAGCACCATATATAACAACGCCCAGTAGAGAGTGACGCTTGACGTCTCTGTTCCACCCAGGAAGAGATCAAAGATGCTCTGAACCATGTTCTTTTCATCATAGGGTGGTTCAGGTTGGTTTTTTGTCTACAGAACAAAGAGAAATGAATATCTGTGAAGCTTGGAAGGTCATTCTTCCATCCTGTCCCTGCCACTTCCAACAGCTTCAACCTTCTCCCCTTGGGGAAGAGGACAGCAGGCAGTGCCAAAAAAGCATTTGTTCCTATGGAGTAACAAAGCCCTGACAGTCCCCTCCGATGGTGCATTGTCACGATCCCCAGTGAAAATGATTCTCAAGGCCAGGGTTTCTCAACCTTGGCAACATTAAGATGTGTGGACTTCAACTCCCAGAATTCCCCAGCCAAATAATTATTAAATGAAATGTAATATTTAATATTTAAATTTAAATATTGCTTTTCTCCCCAACAGGAAATATTGCGCTCCTCATGCAGGGGCATCCATAAGGGGGATAAAAAATGCAATGAGGGGCAGAGCTTTCATCACACAGTCACAAATGCCATCTTTACTCCCCCCACCTCCCAGTCCCCCTGCTCTCATATTCAAGGAGACCTCCAGTGGTTTTTCACACTTCAAGAATGAACTCTGAGGCCAAACCAACTTTTTATAGGGGGTGGTTTCACTTCTTTACTTCGAATTACTCTCCCTGATGTCAGTGTAAAAAAGGTCTTTATCAATTTCAGCCAGATATTCTCTGCATTGTGATTTATTTTTTTCTCTCAAACTGACTTTTCATGTCTGCTCTCTCTCTCTCTCGTTTTCTTTGTAATCACTCACTTTTTTCTCCTTTTTCATAAACCCTTCCACCCTACTTCATTGCATACGATAAAACAAATGAAGCTCTCTGTCTTTTCCTTCTTAAATTGCCCATCCTTCCACATGCAACTTACAGTACTGTCACCCTAATGTGAAAGCTTTTGAGGATGATTGATGATCCTACTCAGCTGAGGGCTAGTGGCTGCTTTTTTACAACATGCAAAACATGGCTAGCGTTAATCTTGGTGGCCCATTGGGTGGCATAGTACGTTGTGTGGATCCAGCCCTATTTAGTTTATGGTTCAATGCACATGCCCAGGAAATGAAGGGATTCAATTGGCTGGTTACACTCTGAGTTCACACCTGAAACTCTGATATCTGAGTTCACCAAAATGTCTCCCAGGACATCGTGCTACAGTACTTCTCCAACCTGCATAATATAACTGTCCTTACAGCTGAAAATAAGAAGATGCCATTATCAGGTGTCTCATAGTCCCATGGAAGAGCACTCACTTACTTTCTCTATTTCAGCAAGGTAAAAATGAATGAAGTCTTGGCCTTTTTCTTGATCGCCTGCTTCTAGGTGCTTCCTGATCTCAGTTCTTATGAACGCCCACACAAAGTCACGTGAGAATAAAGCCCTCTTGTGTGGTCCTGGGAGGTACTGCATAATCCAAGGGAAAATATCATATAGCTGGAGGGAAGAGAAGAAACGTTTGCACGCTGCCCAGAGTCACGTCACGTGAGATATAAATATATACAGTAAATATAAATTTAATAGTTAAATATATAAAGATAATAAATAAAGACAATAAATAAAAAATACATATTAAATGGAGGGAATAGGATTGATTTGAGAGCAAAGCCTGGGGAAAGGATGCAGGAGGTCACTCTCTTGTGAATGGCCTTTGGAGAAGTTATTAAGACAATGCAACAGGGACATCCTTCACTAGATCCTCTTTTAACTCCAAGATGAATTAAATCCTAGTTGTTTTAAAAATCTTTGTAGGAAGAGGCATAAAGGAAGTTCTGAGGGCCAATGAGTGGTCTTTTCTTATTTTTCTGTTTGATAGTACTTTCCTCTTTTCATCTTTCTGCTGTATTTGCAGTGTATCAACACTGTATTCTTGAATGGTTGCTGAGAACGGCAAGGCATTTTTTTCCTTTTATTTCAGTGGAACACAAAACTCTGGGACAATATTCCAGCCCCCCCCCCCCCATTAAATAAAGAAACAGATCATCCTATAAAGGAGGGAAACACAAGGCCATTAAGTCTAGAGTCTGAAATTAATCTAAGCGCCCCTTAAAGTCTGAGAGTATCATTTCCCCTTACAGGGGAACATTTGAGAGTATCATTATCAAGGATTTTCATCTTTAAAATTTGGCTGTTCTTGTTTGGATTATTTGGTGCAAAACCTCAGAGATACGGGATTTCAAAATACTGTAGGCAGGGACCTTTGTACACCAGCATCTGAACTAAAAGGAATCAGAAAGAGACAGCTGTCATAGAGATGGGAATACCAACCAACTTCCCCCAGCATGGATGACAACCAAGGTGGGGTCGAAAAGATGGCTGCCACTATCATGTAATCAAAGTTCTGCCCTTTTTATACCTGTGAAACATGCATGATCCCCAAAGAAAGGGAGTGGGGCTTCAATTGCACCGTCATGGCTGCCACCTTGACTTTATTGACCTCTCTTCCTGCAGATAGCCCTGCTTCCCTGCTAGCCTTTAGTGCCCACTGCAAGTTTTTCTCCCGCTTGGGGCCTGTTCAGTAACCCTAACATGTTGATGTTTGTCCCGTTAGAAAAAGGGAAGAGATCCTTTGCTCACGTGATTCGCGAGAGTGCCACCGACTTGGAAAATGTTTTTTATTGCTTCCAGCAGGTGAAGAAAAGTTTCGTCCTCTGTGGAGAAGCGATGTCCAAAGACAACCGCGCAAATCACATTTGAAACCCCAAGGCTAAGGGCAAAAGAAGGATTCATCGGTTTTCCTGCAAATAGAAAGATTGACTCATAACTGGCATGCGTTTTGCAAAGATGGCACAGGGCACACAGAGAAGGGTTACAGGCAGCCGTGAATTCACTATGCTAGATGGGCCAGTGCAGTGTGTCTCAGCCTTGGCAACTTGAAGATGTGTGGACTTCAACTCCCAGGATTCCCCAGCCAGAATTCTGGGAGTTGAAATCCGCACATCTTCAAGTTGCCAAGGCTGAGACCCACTGCACTGGCCCATCTAGCATAGTGAATTCACGGCTGCCTGTAACCCTTCTCTGTGTGCCCTGTGCCATCTTTGCAAAACGCATGCCAGTTATGAGTCAATCTTTCTATTTGCAGGAAAACCGATGAATCCTTCTTTTGCCCTTAGCCTTGGGGTTTCAAATGTGATTTGCGCGGTT